AGATTGTGAGTCTGGGTACCTGAAGGATGGTGGTTCTCTCAACAAAAATAGGGACATGTGGAAGTTGGGGAGGAAAGATAAGTTGTGATTATCTAACACTGAGTTTAAGATGGCTGTCAGACAAGTACAGTCTGAAATATTCAACAGGCAGTTCACGATGGGGGTCCTGAATCTCAATAGAGTACCTGGGGCTGTATATTTACAGATGTGGGAGTCCTTCCTAGAGATATCTGGTCATTCAAACCATGGGAGATGATGAGGAAAACCTAGAGAGGAGAGCATATAGCCAGGAGTAGGGGATGGTGAACAGTTTCAAATACTTCAGAGATCAAGTGAAAGCATGTATTGAGACCTGAAGGAAGATTGGGAAGAAGTCTTTTGGCTTGGCAAACAGATCATCTGCAGCTCTGGTTTGTGCTTAAGAGGAAGGGCAGAGGCATGGGTGTAGACAGCTTTTACTAGAAGTTTGCTTATGAAAGGGAGAAAAGAGAAAGTACACATAGCTTTCAGGGATGCTGGGGGCAAGGAAATTTTTTTTTCCCTCTTGAAGGGGAGGAGAGTAAAATACATTGTAGACAGGAGACAGTGAAATGTAAGAGAGAGGGAGGACTGGTTTTGAAGGGAAGGGTTACCTCTTCATCAGAGATTAGAACTGAAGCAAAGGAGGAGAGACGAGAGGATTTAGAGTCAGAAGATATTCTAGCTCATTTTTTAGAGCAGGAAATTCAGGCCTTAAAGTAAAGTAACTCATTCAAGGTCACATAGCAGGTAGTAGTCAACAGAACTTGGATCTGTACCTCAGTTTTTAATTTAACTATACTGTTCTATTTAAGTAAAACCACATTACTATTGTCTGGCATAATATCAAAAAGGAAATCAAGTTCTTTTACCACCAAGAAATCTTCATGCCCCAAAGATGTAAACTGCTGCAATGTATACTACTAACTGAGAAAGAAGCATATCAAGGGTAGGCCAGCCAAGAAAAAAAGGGAAAGAAGTGCTGGGAGAAGCCACGGATCCTTTTTTTTTTTTTACTGGCAGATACCAGAGGCAGAAAGAAGACCAAACTGTGAAGGGTTTACATAAACAGGGGGCCTGGTGCATATCTCAGCATTCCCTGTACTGGAAACTTTTTTCTTTCTTTCTTATTTTTGGTTTGTTTTTGCTTTTTGGTGAGGTAAAGGGGTTCAGTGACTTCCCCAGGGTCACACAGCTAGGAAGTATCAAGTGTCTGAGGTTGCACTGGAACTCAGGTCCTCCTGACTCCAAGTCCAGAGCTCTATCCACTCTACCATCTAGCTGCTCTTGGAAACTCTTTTTAAACTACTATGTTTTTAAGGTTCAAAGTCATCCATCACCTCACAGTTCTTTCTACTAATCTTTCCCACTCCTATCATACTGACCCGGCAATTATGAGCTGTGTGAAGGCCAGGAGATGAAAAAGACAGACATATCTAAGGAGGGAAGAAAAATATCTGAACCATCAGAACTAGTTTACATCTGTGCCCTTTCCTTCTGCTGTTTCTAGATCTGGGGACCTGGTTAGTGACTAAGCCAGCTAGACAAATTTGTGCCCATTCCTTTTCATTAGCAGTCTCCTTTGAATTTTGTGATATACACCATAAGGTTTGGATTGAAAACGTGAAAGAATATTTCTAGAATTCTTTATTTACCTACCTTGTTTTTTTCTGAATTTTCTGCTACTGTCTTCAGATGAGCAGAAAGAAACTTAAGGGTTTCGTAATGATGTTCAGGCAAATCATGAATCTGTAAAAACATCATTTCAGTGATAGATTTAAAACTCGTAAAACTTTCTGTTGTCGCCCCCAAACTGACCAATAATACTCACTAGTCTTTTTAATGTTTTAAGACGCTCCAGGGGATCTTCTTTTCAATTGGCTTCAATAAAATCCTTGTATTTATCTGGCAACAGAAAAACATTTTTTCTCAACTGATTAGGCCAAATGTATCCTTCGTATTGCCAACAAAATAACAGGTATTTCTTTAGAGAAAAAGAGTGGGTCTTAAGTAGGTTTAAAATTTAGGCCTCCAAAATAACATCAATTTGAATGAGAACTATGTTCAAGTAACTTAGAGTGCAAAAGTTCCATGAAAGCAGAAACTTGCCTTCACCATAACTCTCCTTTTCCTGCCCTCAATACCAACCACAACATCATCTCTATCTCTATGTATAGCTTTATGAACACGTGTGTGTGACATGCTCAGCAAGGATTTGTTGATTTACTAAAAACATGTAAATAAAGGTCATGTACACTAACATGTTTAAAGATTCTGTCTGGGGAGAGTAAGAAATGTTATTCTGAGCCAGAAATAAGGAGGAGCCCAACAATGTAGCTTGGCTGAATGTCAATAAACTTGTTTCCATGGATTCTAAATAGCGAAATTTACCACCCCCCCCAAATCCCAGTTTACTACCAGAGAACTTTACTTTCTTTATACTCTTCTTTAAATTAAAACATAGGGGTAGGACAATTAAACTGATTTTACAGAAGATAACTTACCATTTGTGAAGAGAGGCTCAGGGAGTTTTCTGAAGAACAGTTTCAGCAGACTGCTGATAACATTCAAGTCTTGCCATTTCTAGGCATGCAGAAGGGAAATATGTAATATGTCACAGTCACCATAACATTCTGAAACATGAAAATGAATGAATGAACTTACATCATCCTGTAGATTGATGTCAGCCATTCCTTTGCTGAGTTCTTCTTGCATCCTATAGATGGCAGCATGATTTCCAGGAACTCTATAAATCCCTGTATGGTGAAGTCCTCTTTCCTTAATCAACTGGCAGCAGATCTCAACTATGCGTGGAATGTACTACAAAACAAAAAGAGATTTTTCTTATTTTTAGAGGCCTCACATGATCATATTAAGCTATTATTTATCTCTACATAAAATATGTTTCTCAAAAAAAGATTTGCTCTTTAGGTCATGTGGAGAATCAAAAGAATAGTGAGTTCGGTTGTAGCTGAGTTAAACATATTTGGACTGCTGAGATGGAAATGAGGATGTAAGAGGGGAAGAGTTATCTGATAGAGTAATTGGTGTGGGAGTCTGGAAGATTTAGTTTCAGAATCCTGCCTTCAGCATTTATTAGCTGTGAGAATGGTGGGCCAGTGACTTCCCTCTGCCAAGACCCAGTTTCCATGAAAAGGGTCTAATGATGACTGCAGCATCTTTTTCACAGGGTTGTTATTGTAAAGCTTTGTAAGTCTTCAAGTGCCAAATATGGTTGTTCTGATGACTGTCAAACGACTGGATATGTTCTGGCTGCGCAAAGAACACTAGAAGTCAGGCAATTAGCTCACGAACAGAGTATGGGAATGCAAATTGCTCTTAAAGAAGGTCAACTTTACTTCAGACTTGAAATCTAGCTTTTTACACACCTCTCCCAAACACATATTGATTTAATGTCTCAAAAAAGATATTGGCCTGCCAGCTGTTTTCTAAACTTGGCCTCTTGTTGAGGGCAGAGACTAACCAGGGGACTGGCAGGGACAGGGGGCGGGGTTTAATGGAGAGAGGTAGCTGCTCAAATGAGGCTTGCAGGAAGAACAGGACTTCCAGAGGTTCACTTAGGGATGTCACTCTGGCTTGAGTGAACAGATGCTCGTAGCACATCAAACTTCAATTTGGGGATACAAAGTTAGTATACGTCTATACGGAGCACAATCCTAATAAAGTTTCAGAAACAAACAGGCAGGCCTCCAGAAATGATAGTGTCTTTAATGTAATCCATCTTTGTGGTAACTAATGGCTAAAAAGGGTAGCGAATGCAATATTCTGCTGCTTCTTGACTATCCAAACTGTTTCCATTTGAATTGTCTTAGGAAGATTCTGAAGATCACCTGGCAAGATAAGGTACCCAGCAACTGATGTCCTCTCTGAGGCTGACCTGCCAAGCATTCAAATCCTACTGCAGAGAGCACAGCTCCCATGGGCTGGCCACATTGTGCGAATGACTACCATATGTTTGCCGGAAAGACTATTTGATGGAGAACTAGCACAAGGCAAATGCTCACGCACAGGTTAGAAGAAGCAGTACAAGGACACTCTCAAGGTTTCTCAGAAGAACTTTACTATCAATTGTGAGACATGGGAGATGTTGGCACAGGACTGCCCAGCCTGGTATGCCCGCATCCAGCATGGCACTAGGCTCTCCATGAGCCAAGCAGAAATGCAGGAGCACAAGGGAAACGTGACATGTGTGCGTTTAGAGATATCTCCACCCCAAATGTTCAAATGGACTGTTTGTTCCCAGTCTGTGGTAGAGCCTTCCAAACCCATATTGGATTGATGAGCCACAGTCAAATACACTGTCCCTTGACACCAACATTGGGATGTCATTGGTCCTCCTTGAGTACAAAGGTGGAAACAACAATAAAAACCATTTGACCAACTATCTTCTCTAATGTTGTTTCCCACATCTGCATCAAAATCATCCAGGATTCCGTGAAAGATTTCTCAGGGATAACTTTGTTCAACTTTGGATTAGTAATTTCAAGGGAAGCATAAGACAGACAGATGTGTGCTTGCTCGAGGAGTTCGGCATTGTCATGAAGTAAAGAAAAGAAAGTGGTGGTATTGGTGGTGAGGTCCTCCAGATGCTCTTGTCCAAAGACGGCACTGAGCCGAATGAAATTTCCATGTCTTTATACAGAACCTCCTAAGTGAGATCTCTACTCTCTCCAGAAAGTAGGCCTAATACTCCATACAGGAAACACTGAGTCGAAGAAGTAGAATGTCTCCTGGAGACTGCAATATGCATTTGGATGGTCAACCTGGAGAACTAGCCTATCAGTACATTGATCTTAGATATTCTAAGAGGACAATGAGCTGACCCCAGAATTGAGCAGAAGCAGAGCAGGCTGGATTGCCTTTGCAAAACCGGACAGTTTTTAATAACCTCAGATATTCCCCTGAAATAAAATCTCATCATTTTAACATCAACATTAACATCAACAGCAAAGACCATAATTTCATGCAGAAATTAAATCAAAGTAAATGATAGAGCTCGGCAGAAAGTCTCTTAGTCAGCAAACATCTGCCTTGATAGCCAAATGTTGAGAGATGGCTCCTGAAGCCAACACCAAGTTAGAGTATAAACTCATTTGTAAAATCTTTTTTAAGAAAAGGATGGCAGATGATTACTGTCAGCTTTGTCTCGTAAACAAAGGAGAGTCACTAGACAGTAACACCTATCTAAAACATATTACAATTAACTATTTCATCCATCAAGGACACTGGGATCACCCCACCTGGAGCTTAACATCACAATCTCCAAGACATAGAAGAAGTAGAAAAGGCTTTAATGAGAAAGTAGGAAAAGTAGTCCTACTGGGACAAGTATGTCATTAATAGGGGATGTTGGTGGTGATGATATCAATTTCTAAGGATGTTTGTTGAGTGGTGGTTTTTAAGGTATCTAAGGAATGGGGTATGGACAAAATCTCACTCTGATGAAAGGTATTAGGCAACATGAGGGTTTTCACAAACGATATCTGACAGTGGAGCACATCTCAAAATTAACTGAAATTCATAGAGAAGATAATATCTTATTAACAAACATAATGTTTATTAATTATGAAAAAACATTTGACTCATGAAAGCAAAATGCTGTCTTCCAGGCTCTTTTCCAACAAGGTGTCTCCCACCGAGACACCATCCTCATTTTATTTTATTGACAGCTGAAATCATGTTATTTAATCACCCTCTGATCAAAAGCATCCAGTGAGGCATAAAACTGGAGATATGTGCTAGTGAATTGAGCAAGTCCAGCGTAGAGTCAAGGGGGAAAAGGGACCCGCTGTGGATGCTGAGAGGTTCTACACATGGTCCTGTTTGTAGATGACATCCTGTTCATTGCCTCAAGCCACAAGACATTGCAGAGCCTCCTGGAAGAGATCTGCAATCCCTCAAAGGAGTTTGGCCTGATCATCTGTGCAGGGAAGACCAAATGGATGCCCAGACGCCAACATGTGTCTGAATGGACACCTACTGCATCTGTCCAATGGGACCTATATCTGGGTCCAGAGATGAAGAGGAGGATGAGAGCAGCTGGATTGCTCTTGGAAAACTGCAAAACCTTTTTGAACAACCCCAGGCTTCCAAGTTAAGGAACATCCAAAGATCAATAGAGAAGTGTAGGTTGGGCACAAGGAGGTTACACATTACAAAAAGGAAATTATGTACACATTAAGAATGTCATGGAAAACAACATGACACACATTAAAAAGATGAGGTGGTCACTGAAGTGAGGGCAAGGGATTACCAATGGATACCTTGTACCTCCAGTGGGAGCTACAAAATGTCAAGAGAATAAAAGTAAGGCCCCTGTCATGGGTGCACACCCTTGCCAGGGGCCAATTTACGGAAGACATGGACAACCATCAGAGATTGTTCCCCATATCACTGGAGGGGGGCACCCACACTGATGAGGTTACAGATGCTTTGGACGATTAGGGTACAAGCAAGGCTTTTGTCTCCTACCGGATTCGTGTGAGCTGGCAGGCAGTCACCAAGGGTGACCCCAAAGGTTCCTACAGGCTTTTTCGGAAGTGTTTTGTTCTTAACGTTTGCAATGCCTTTTCTCCACGTGCCTTCTGGAGGACTGGTGTCATCTTTGGTTATTGTTGAAAACAAGGAGGTCATACATTGGGGGAAAAAAGAGGGGAAACAAAATGTTTGAATCATAATTGAAATACATGGACTATGTTGGCTTAAATGGGATCCCTTTAACATAAAAAAGCACCAATTAACAATGTTTCAGTTCATCCTAATCCACCTCTTGTCTTTCATTACCAAATGGAAATTATTTTCTTCCATGTATTTTAAAATACACGGAGAGTTGTTTTTCATCCCTTTACAATGCGAATTAACTGAAGTTTTCAATGAAAAAAATTACACAAATGTTCACAAAGTCCCTATTATAACTAAGGTAACTGTGCTAGAAATACAGAGAAAGATTCTTGAAATATTCTAGATCCATGATCTTCTACTACAACATCTTTAAGTTTTTAATACTCCAGTCTTTATCTATACACACACGCATGCACATATATGCGTGAGTACATGTGTTGACAGTCTGATCTCTTTTTTCTTGGACTAGATGTGTAATACTATCAGCAGATGGAGCTCATTCTAGAAATACAGATTCCTGCTCAGAGAGAGGCTTCTAGCCCTCAGAGGTTAAGAGTCACACAATCAAGGTCACACAATCTCTATGGGCCAGGGGGAAGATTTGAATTCAAGGTTTTTACTGATTCTGAGGCCAGCTTTCTACCTGTTATTCCAGGCTACCTCCCATTCTTGTATCTAAACAAAAAAATAAAGAGCTGGATAATATGCCTGGGGGCTTTCAGATTTCCACTCCAGATAATATGAGCCCTGTGTTTTCCTGCTAAGGAGGCCTTCGTGAGAGTTTCTTAAAGGAATATTTAAATGATTAGTGCTGGTAGTAATGAATCTTGTTAAGAAAAGATGGAGCCTGAGATGACTCAATTCCAAAGCGGGCCTCTTTAAGTACCACGGTAGCCCATCTAATTTATGTCTATGTGTGTAACATGCGAAGTTCTTCATACTGTACAGGTTTAATTTCTGTATCAAACAATGGGTGTTAGAACTGAATTTTGTACTTGCAGTTTTAAGGAATACATTTTGCTTGCTTTTAAATATTTTAATATATAGACTATCAAGCTACATCTTTTGAGCCCAAGCCTGAAAGGGAAAGTACCCCCAGGTTTGTGGCCCTTATAAGCCAGATAAACCCAACCACTGCCGGTTAGCAAAAAACAATATTTAAGGAAGAAATTTCAAAGTTAAAATAGGTTTAGAACTTCATATTCTAAGTAGTCTTAATCACCAAATGTGTCAAATCTCTCCAATAAAAACAGGCACCTTTACTGAGGAGTTTTCTTTCTGACTCTTCTTTGGGGGAGTGTGGACTCTGAAATTTTGGTTCTGCTTTAGCACCAAGCAAAGTCTGCCTGATACTGAGACTCTGGCAAGGTATTTTTGACAACTGGTCTGCTTTGCTGAAGGAAGAAGAGGTAGAATTGGCTCTAGGCCTTTCTTAATTTATACTTACCATGGTCGTGTGACAGCTGACAGCAAATTAAAGGGGCTGAACTTGGAAGGCTGGGAGGAATCTGTGCTCTAGTGGGCACATGAGAGGTGGATGCTGAAATGACAGCAGAAGCAGGAATATGTGCCACATCCTGATCAATGCTTGGGCTGGTTGGCTCATCTAGAAAGTAATACAATACATTAACCTGTTAAGTGGTGTCATTAACAGAGCAGAAACTAAAGAATAACTTGTTAGAGTTTCTGGGTACAAATTTTTAAAACTGGATTAGTCAGTCATAAATCAACCTGGGAGTGGAGCAGACTTGATCTCATTTCCCAGCGATATTTTAGTAAAGAGAGGAACCAATGACATTTAAAACTGATTATCACCATTGTAAGATACAGCAACGCAAAACATTAAATTGGACCAAACATGTTCACTGCATACAAAGCAAATACTATACAAGTAATTTAGTTTTGAATCCCCACTTTTATAGTTCAGTTTGAAGAACAACTCAGTACCAACACAGTATATATGTAAGGCCTTTTTAGCTTGGAAAAAAGAATCAGCAATTCAATTAATAAGATGATACTTGAAAAAAAATAAGTGACATTATTCAAGAAAGAATTATAAAACAGTGAGAAGAAATCATAAAATTATTTTGGAATTAGTATTTCCATATACTAAATTAGTTCTTTCATTAACTGATTATATAAGGCATTAAAGTATAGCTCCCCAAACTTTACAAAATCAGAAGGGCTAAATCAAGAACAATACTCCCTTCACCACAATTTCAGAGGTACTACAAACATGTTTTGCAATATTCAAAGAAACCAATAAGAGAAAACTTGATTAAAATTGAATTCTCCTTTGAAGAAGTACCAAAACATACAGTTTTACTTGTCAAGCCTCACTGATTGAGCTTTTCAAATGTTCTGAAGCAATTCATGACTTTGTGCAGCATTTATGTGTTTAGAGACAATGAATATATATACATATGTATATGTTTATGAGTGTGTGTATATATGTATATATGCAGGTGTATATACAGATGTATATATACACACACACAAGTAAACATTTTTCCTCAGTGAAAAAATGAAAGTTCAAATACTAGAAAGTCTTCAGTTTGGGGAAATAATGATATATTACCATAATGAATACATCACAGACGTTTTGATTCAACAGATTACAAAAACCTATTAATCATGTAAAAGGCATAATTATGTTTTTAAATAGAATAAAATTCCAAAAGAAGATGTGACCATGTATGTACTACGTCTCTAAAAACATAAATGCCTCCCAAAATCATGAATGGCTTTAGGATATTAGAATGTCAGGAGACAGCAAAGCTTCACAAATGGAATGATACAGTAATTTGTTTAAAAATCCTTTTTTCTTTAAAAATTTGTAAGCCATGTGAAGTTATAGAAGAACACTGATTATTTCTACTTCCTGGAGGTATAAAGGCTAATCCAGTAGTGTGAAACCCAAACAGAATGGAGGTTATTCATTTTGTTCAATATTTCCCAATTGTACCTTAATCAGGTTCAGGCTGCACTTTGCTGGTGTTTGACCCCTTTGTGCTAATCACTACTTGAACAATTAGCTTTAATAATTCTATTAGGCTGATAACTGCCTTTTTGTCACTTCTGGCCATTAGTACAAGTTGAGAATAAATCAGACATGTCTCCTACATAATCACTTGCCCAACGTTTGAAGGTTGTGTGGCCTCTCAATGTTAAAGGATGTTTTCTTTCCCATCACTTGCAAACTACTTGTGTGTTTTAAAGAAAAGTCACAATTTTGTGTCCTTCACCAAGAAGCAATGTGCAAGGACAGTGGTTGGTATACGCACTGTACAGCACCAAAAATTAAACTGCTGTGAAACATTTCCCAATTACACTTGAATCTGGTTCCAGTTGCCTTTGGGGGGCCTTTGAGGGTGGTACCTCTGGTGTAGAGAGCTCTGAAATTAAGCATCAGAGGTGGGACTTAAATACAATTCTTCTTGCCTCTCTATCCATTACAACACACAAGGTTCTATTTTTGTTATATGTATAGTAGTAGCATGATCGTTGATGGTAAACCGCATTAAACACATGTGGTCAGAAAGTCAGTGTCCTTGGAAATGTACTGAAAGAGCCAAAGTTAGTCTAAAGTATTCTCCCACGTAGAACAAAAAGAGCTTGTCAAGAAAGGCTGAAGCAGCTCCAAAGGGCTGCTCTGCCTTGGAGGCTCTATCCATTCATCGACCCTATTGCAGGGAACGGCAGTCACGTAATGCTACATCCTTGATGCAAGGATGGGGTTTGTGAGCCAATTCTAAAGGGTAATGAGAGTCTAAACAGATTCTACATACTCCCTGTAGCTTCAGCTGGATATAATCAATGATGCCAACACAACTCCAGGTTACTCCTGAGGAGCATGGGTTTCATCTTCACGGACACAGGCAGGATGGGCACATTCCTTCTCGACTCTATGTGGCACTGGGCAAGCAATGACAACTCGACCTCTGTGAGGTCACCAGTCCAAATGAGGGCTTTAGGTGAGACCCTCTCTCAGCTCTGCTTCTGGCTTTCAACAAGGGAGAAGGCAGGAGATGCTCATGCTTAGATTTCCCTAGTGACCATGACATTGTTCTTTCTTCACTAAAGCATCATAAGACTGTAAAGAACTGCACAAAGCCCAGTACACCACAGAGATGGAACCCTCATCGTGACCCATGAAGCAGCAAACAAGGGCCAGTTGGGGGTGAGGAAGAGGGTGAAAGCCACCCCCTTTTGGCCTCTGGAATTGAGCTCACCCAAAAGCTAGTGGAATAAGTGAGCCCCTGAGGAAAAGATCAAACTGACCAAGGAGAAGGGGTTAAGAGGGAGACCCTTTGGGGCTGGCATCAGCCCCAGCAGGACCAGGCAAGGTGGTCCTGACACTGCAGTTGGCTAAAGGAATGAAACTTCCCTATGTGCCTCGTGCCCTCAAGCTACAGTGAGAGAGAGCGGGCAATAAGGGCTCTCAGGGTCCTTGGAGTCAGCATGCCATGCCCAGCCCCTCTGCTCAGGTGTTGCAAATGACTCTGTGGCTTCCATCTTGACTCTGACCCCCAAACCCCAGAGGGCTTCCACTACTAACGGGTGGCCAAGTGGTCTAACTTCTCAAAAGTTCCGCACTTTGAGGGAGGTCCCAAAGTTCCATACGCTTGGCAGGGATGTGCTCAGGGCACTCAGGCTTCACCTATGCAGGAGCCTCTCAGGAGCTGAAATAGACTCTTGTCTTTGGGGGGAGGGCAGGGTCATGGGGGTCAGTAAGTCTCACCCCAACCCCTGCTCATCAGCTAGACTGGGGAGGGAGAACTTATTAAACACTGAGTTAAAAAACAATCTTTGGTGTGAAGAAACATGACCCACAAATAGGGTTTTCCGGTAAAACCAATTTCACTGGAGCAAAATCTGCAGTGGTCCATCTGCAGAGAAGGCACTGGGATGGGCCACAGTTTACTCTTATCAAGTCCAGAGAAAATTTCTCTACTACCACCAGTCTTACAGAAACAAATGATCCTACATCCATGGAAAATTTCCTAGTGCGTTGTACCCTTTCTAGACAACACTTTGTGGAAATGTGGTACGTACTCTCAATTGAGAAAGGCACCTTCCTTCAAGCATTGTCTAATTAACCATTTCTGCTCTTTTAATCAAACTTTCCTTCAGTTAATTCTGGATCAATTTGAACAAACACACGAGTAGTGTTTTGCTGGTACTGTTATGCTCCCCTATTGAAGGTAGATGAGTTTTTATGGTTTGTGACTTATTCATTTTCCCCTTTTTGTACTTAGTGGATATAAAAACATTTGTTCAATTTGACCTGCAAAATATTCTGAAAAAGGTTTCTCAAGCCTTACCTCTGCGCTTTCTCTTCCGGGTAAATAAACGCTTAATACCATTAAACACTCTCATACATCTAGTGAGCTTCATAATAGCAGCTCACCTAAGCTTTCAGATATCTGAAAACAACTGCACAGTTATTCAGAGTCAACATCTGTTGCCATGACACAGTTAGAACAGAACGAAGAGTCACAAAGGTGGGGTAGAATGCCAAAGGTCATCTAACCACCAAACAGCAACAGCAGGTCTGAGACTTGACCGCTATTCTTGTGATGCCAAGTCCAGCAACTTTTTCCACCATGTTGCAGGCACTAAAGGTCTTCCCCTCTGATGCTTTATCATGATGGAGGTGACCCTTTGTTCTCTGGCTGGGCCTATCAGATTGGAAGGTTTTGAATAAAGTTCATGTGACTTTTCTTCTGATGACTAGTGTAGAGGCTCTTAAACTCACTCTCTCCACCTGCACTAGATTATTAGGTTGGGTCCCGAGGGATAACTGCTCGTTCTACCCTCAGGATTTCAAGAGTAATCCTCAGGAATTGTGGCTCACAAGCCAGGGTGTTTCATCTTGCCCATATCAAATGGTCGATTAACATTTATTCATTTTTATCCAAGGATATTTACTGATAAGTTATAGAAAGGACCAAAATATAACATCTTACCCCCGTTTGGCCCCCCCAAAAGTCCTGCCCTCTGTCTTCTGCATATCTACTCAGCTTCTGGGAAAATTAGATTCAAAACTTGTAAGCACTGAAGTATTGACATGAGCAGCCTGAATTCAGAGAGGCTCATCACCAAACCACTGGCCACCAGCACGTGACAGTTTTTGGTCACAATGATTTATTAAACAACACCTTAGCTCATTTGTACAGGGGATCCCAAAAGACTCCTTGGATTCCTGGTAGAGAGCTCTACAGCTTACAAAGCTCCCTGTATATAGAGGGAGTCCCAGAAGTCTCCATACACTTTTAATCTTTAATAGACATAGATCTTCAACCTTAAAATGGAGACTTTGGGGATGGGCTGTATGATCCAGTGTGTGCCCACAGTAACCAGGGGGGGCTCCTAAGGCAAGATCTTTACCCCACCCCCACTTTAGAGCTGCAGGGATGAATCCTGAGAGAGGGTCTTTGCCGACAGACATCCAGGCAGGAGAGCAGGAGTGCCAGGACATTCAGAGAGTGAGGCCTTTTTCATTCTGAACCCAGGTTTTCTTTCCATTGCATTTCCATTGCCTCAGGGGGACCTGAGTTCAGATCCAGCCTCAGACACCCACTAGTTGTGTGACCTAGGGCAAGTCATTTAACCCAGATCACTTCAGCAAAAAGTAAACAAGAAAAAAGAAAGAAAAACTATATGGGCTAGCTATTTAGACTTGCCCCTTGCCGTGAAAATCAGGTTGACCAAAAGGCTTTTAGGAGAGCTTTTGGCACACTAGGGCTAAAACGGATCTATAACCAATGCAGAGCCTAAACTGAGCTCCAACACTACAGATCCCTTAAGATTTCTGTTCAATTAAAAGGGGGGAGGGGGACAGGCACTCCTAATGTAGATAGAGAGCAGTCCATGACTTAGTGCGGAAGTTCTTAAGGAATTGTTTAGGCACCAAGGGATTAAGGTAGATCCCTAGGGTCACCTGACCCTAAGGCTTCCTGACAGCAAGCCCGAGTCCCAGTGCCAGGCTGACTCTCATGTGTTGTGTAGCTCATCAATTCGGTGTGAAATGTTCAGCAAAACTAAATCATAACCGCTAATGCTACCTCCTTGAGCTTTGCTTTGTTTGGTTATCTCATGAGACCTACAGTATCTCCACCGCAAATTCCATTTGACTTCTGTAGACGTCCATGCTACTTGCCTTTACCCATTTGTTGCTGCTTATCCTTCACTCTCAAAGAGGACCAATGACATCAGGAGGGTGATGTCTTGACTTGCAAGTCCCACTCTCGGCTACACTCTCTAGACTCCATCTCCTTCTCCTCATATATTTGGATCACATTCCCACAATGAGAAATCTCCCACTGGGGCCCTCCTCGCCTCATTGGTGACTCTTTCCATTGACCACCATTCTGGAAAGGACCTCAGCCATACCTCTTCTCATTCTGGCCTTAGCATTCCTCAGACTCCACCCTCTCCCCAAATTCGTAGTTACCTCACTCCCTTTCCAGCTGCTCTAAAACAGGGCTTCGTAAAGTTCTTCCAGGCTTAGTTCCTTTTCCATGTTGTGGTTGCATGATCTGAGGGCGTGTGCAGTGCAAAGTTCACGTGCTTTGTGTTCAAAACCAAGGCTTCCATGTAATATGGGCAAGCAAGAGTGGCCAGGGACACCTCGAATTCATCACACGTTTGATTTTGAATCATTTTTGGTCGTTGCACATTCAGAAACCTTTTACTGTTGGCAAATTTTCCATGACCCCCATAGGGGGTCACGATCCACAGTGTAAGGAGCGCTGTAGGCCTATATGTATTGTGTTTTCCTGTTAAAATGTAAAGTCTTGAGGGCAGAGACTGTCTTGTTTCCATCTATATCTAGTGCTTAGCCCAGCTTAGTGCATATGAAGTACTTACTGAATACTTTGTCCTTCCTTACCTGTCTAGCCTGTATCCTTTGGCACTGGGCCACAACAAATAAGCATTCTTGTTGCTTCAAGGCTTCACGTTCTCAGAACAGCCTACATTCAATGTACATTTTGATCACCTTTTGAATGATGAAAGGCATCAGAAATCATCTCTATCTCCAAGCCCATGCTGTATCCTCGTGATGACTCAGATGTTAACTCATGTCACTAGAGGGAAGACGGCACACAGAAAATCCAAAATGGCAGGTCATAGAGAATTGTAGTGGGCTAGCTTGGCATGCATCCCATGACTTGATGACACCACATTGTTTTTCCTAGTTATGCTCTAATCTAGTACTGTCCTGGATTTTCAGGGCTGACCTTGGGCAGTAGTTGGCAGCCCCTCCCTCCATTTCTGAGCATCAGTCTCCTTCCCTCTCTTTCTTTGTCTCCCTCCTTAGGACTCAGTGGCCTGGAGTGCAAAGCAAAGTCTGTCTTTGGCACTTTCTCATTTCCCCTTTCAATGCTCCCTTTTTGCCACTCAGAGTCAATGAATTTACTTATTTATTCATTGATTCGTATGTTTGTTTTCCTCTCCAGCTGAATGTTTAGAGCTAGGAAGACCTAGATCCTAGATTTTAATCTTGCCTCAGATACAAAGTAGCTGTGTGACCCTGGGCAAGTCACTTGAGGAAACTGAGGCTCAGTAAAGTGATGATAATAATAGCACCGACCCCACAGGGTTGCTGTGAAGTTCAAATAAGATAATGCATGTAAAGAACTGTATTGATGTGGGCTATTATTATTATCTAGCCTAGGTTGCTTGTTCTTGCCTGTTTTGTTATCTCTTAATAGCCCCAAAACGGTGCAAAGACAGATCATTATTCTTTTTAAAAGAACTGCTAAAAACCTATATACTGTGTAGTGCTTTCCTATTCCTGGCTTATGTCTAACTTGACAGAAAAGGACACATGTACCCTCAGTTTCCCCATCGGTAAAGTGGGAATAATAATCCTATTTTTATCTGCCTCACATGGCCCTTGTAAACAGTGACTTATAACACTCCAAAGCATGTAAATGGAAATAGTTCTTATTTATGGAACAGGCCTGTGTTTTAATCAGTTCAGGGAGCTCTCAGTGACTCTACTAGTATAAATCAGCACCTTCTTTGCAATCGTATAGTCTGAAGAGAGTTGCCTGGTAATAAAAGGTCAAAGGACTTACCCAGGATCATCTGGCCAGTAGGTATCACAGGAAAGATGAATCCATGTCTTCCTGGATTCCTGATGCCAAGACCAGCTCCTGTCCTCCATGCTGAATGGTCTCTCAATGTATCGTTACTATTTTGCACAAATATGACCATCTCTGGGACATCTCTATAGCAAGATTGAGGTGTAGCAGTGCTGATTTAAACACTTCTTAGCTGGATGCCCTGTCTCAAGTTACTTAATCTCTCAGTCTTAGTTTCTTCATCTGGAAAATGGCAATAAGATTTTTACTACCTTCCTCATAGGAGTACAGTGAGGAAGGTACTTGGTAAATATGACTTTACCACACTGTACAAAGTATTTCAGAAATCTGAATGCAGATTTGAGCTATGAAGGCTTAATGGGTTCACTAAAATGCCATCCTTACCTGTCTAGCAAGAAACTAAAGGGTTACCCAGGATATTGGATACATAGGACTACTGCCATTGCCAAAACAGAAAATTCTTCATTTTCACAAAAGTATGGCAGAATGAGAAGAACCTTGTACTTGGAAAGACTCAAGAGCTCTAATTAATTCAGTGACCAAATATGATTCTAGAGGAGCACTGATAGGACCCGCCCCTGATCGAGATATAGATACAAGATGCGGAGGCACACATTTTTAAACATGGTCAGTGTGGGCATTTGTTTTGCTTGATTGTGTATATTTGCTAGGAAGGTTTTGTTTTTCCTTTAAATTAGAGAGTGAGGTAAGAGGAGAGAAAATAAACCCATATTGATCGAAAGATTTTCTTAAATGACCTTGTAAATTGACTTTCCACATCCCAAGAAAAAGGAATAGTTATCCCTTCCACATTGGGACTTTTCCCATCATAGTTTTGATATATCGAAGTTTGGCATAAGAAATTACATGGGACTTTGGAGGGAATTTGTGGAAGTCACAGATGACACATGAAAGCTAGCAGACAACAAAGAAAAAGTTTAGCAACTCAGGAATGTATGAAATATATGTGTAGTATTACACAATATCAACATTTTATCTTTTAATACCATAATTTAGATGTCTTCCCTGGTACAAAGGAGGGCCAAAAAATTTTACACACATTTTCCAAATTGTTCGGGCTCCAGGCCCCTAACCTCTGCTATGTGGAAGGGCTAACATAATTGATTCTTCTATTCAGGGAGAGGGAAAGACTTGCCTTTCCCACCTGTTCCCACATGGCAGGGAAAGGGGTATCTAATTCCCGCTAGGAGAATTGTTGCAAATATACGCACACAAATCAGGACACCAGTAAACGTAATGTGAGAACCCTGGTAACCTAGAGACAGACAGACTACTACTGCTGCTGCTAAGGGGTGGACTACAAACATTTTGCAGCACCCTGGACACTATTCATTTAATGGAGGCATGACTAGCTAAAGGACTGCTCATTTGCTGCCACCTGGTGTTCAATTTCCCCCACCCTTTCTTCCAAGCCTTGAGAATCGAAAGAAATCTTTCCCTCCTAGTCCCTTCAGGAGAGGCTGCAGTCACAGAAAAGCTTATGGTTCAGTGTGAGGGCTCTGAAAATTTTTGTTGTTTAGTCATTTCAGTCATGTCTGACTCCTCACGGCCCCTTTTTGGGATTTTCTTGGCAGATAGGATGGGCTGGGGAATATTTAGAGAGGTCTTCATTCTAACCTCCCCAAGATCTCTCCACCTTTGGTCTAGATCCCCCACAGAGCCTTCCTTTTAGCTCATATTCCTCTGAATTAAGGAGGAAAAAAGGTGAAGGACTTGCATGTACTGTTTGCAGAGAGAAGGCAAGGCTTACCAAAGGAGATGTTGGACTTTACTAACAGTATTTTTTGAAAATACAAACTCTCTAGGCCTCAGTGTGCTCCTGTGTAAAATGAGAGAG